TGAGGCAAGTTGCATGGAGCGCTTTGAGTGGTCAGGTAGAATAGAAAGGTGCCAAGTAGATAAGAACGAGTCCATTTAACATTGACCGAGAGGGAGGAAATTCCTAAATGGATGTTGTATAATCCCACCTGGAGTATCCAGATGTGTGGTCGCGCCTGTAAATGATTCATTTAAACAAAGCTGTGCTACCTGCTCAAAATCTACAAGGTCAAGAATAAAGTTGACTAGCTTTGCACAGTTTGGTATTAACGACTCCTTCCTCAGCTGATGTAGTTTCATTGTGCAACCTCGTGTTTCATAATAAAAACATGTGAGCAGATCGTGTGTGCTGAACGTATTAATCGTAATAACAGTGTAGTGTTACTCACAGGTTAGTGTTTGTTGTAGAGACCATCACACAGACCCTGCTGGCAGGATCCCAACCACAGAAGGGATCTCGGGCCAGAACACACTGAGCACAGGTCCAGTAAAAAGAACAGTTAGCTGTCGGGACCTTCACGACGCCCTCCGATGTGCCGATGTAAATCACTCCCTGCAGTGGGACAGAATAAGCGTTCAGACATTTCTCAGTACTCTGTCGCAATGACATCATTCTGCTTCACCGTGATGGAGAAACTTTGTCTAGTTTGCAAAACTGAGTTCAAACTGTTTACCTGCAGAACATCTGGAACAACACAGAGATCGAGTCTACTTTTTACCCAGACTTGCAAATTGATCAGTTAAGGACTCCAGCATGTTCATAAAAAATAATAGATAACTGAACCGAGTGCACGGTAAACCTCTGGGACATCATGTCCCATTCGATGCTGCCAGTTTGCACCTCCGACTGTCCCTAAACTCAGAGGTGATTCCCCACGACACTACCTGCTGTCTCACTGGGAGATTCCCCTGATGCTGTCAGGCAAGCATAGAAGGCACATGGGGAACATGCAAAGGCCTGAGCACTACTTTGAGTTGCTGCAATGGAATCTGGGCAAAATGGACCAGTCTGCCGTATCATTAGTTTCAGTCTGATTTCTCAGTGTCTTTGAATTCATTTGCATCCAACAATGTGACATCCTTTTGTTCCTGACGTGTCCTTCGGTCCATACCAGTTTGAATGTCCAGCATGACTTTGAGATGTGTTTCCTACGAGTTCCTTTGTTTTATTTAGCAGTAACAGTACAGTAACAGTAGCTTGGAGCTAAATAATAATACATAAATAATTAACACTCAAAGCAGCACACAGAAACTCTCTATGGTCATTGCCACGTCTTTGTCTCCATTGCCTCCAATAGTGAATCTGGCCTCTAGTCTAAAGACCTAAATGGAACTGAACCACCAATTAAAGGTCAGCAGCAGTGTGCACCTTGGGTATGGAGAGCTTCAGGCTCTTGACAGGCTGAGGCTGCTCAAAGACCTGAATCTCCTCAATGATATGGGCCCCTCTGAGTAGCAGCACTGCTTTATGCAAGTAACCAGACTCTGAAACAGAAAAGAAATCATTAATAACAGAAAACTATTGAAGAAGAAGTGCTGAGAGGATATAAACCTGTACTGTGAGGCCTGGTAGTCGTGGAAGAGTTCAGCCTTTCTGTGTTTTGCTGCTCTGCCTGCAGTCCTACCTGTGAGCAGAAACAGGACAGTGTAGTGTTTGCCGTTGGCTGCCTGGACCCTCTGGACAGTCAGGTGGCTGTAGGTGTTTTCAGCAGACACCATGGTCAGGTTCCTTCCAACTGGTCGCACACTGTCATCTGCCAGGAAGTTCTCTTTGACAAAGCGCAGGGCATTGTCTGAGGCGTTGTGCAGGCCACACTGACACAAAAGTGGACACAAACGAATTATTTTTGTATTCATTTCCATTTGTGTGGCACTTTTTTTAATCGCACATTATCAGCAGCAGAGAGCGTGCCATCAGCAAAGCTGCTCAAAAACTCAACGCTTGAACGTATTTAGGTTACACGTCAGCCTGTGGGATTCTTCATTAGTAGCTGCAAAGTGTTATGTTGCCGGTAGTTACATGTTTCAAATCTGAACAGCGCTTTGAAATGTGAAATACAGCATTTAAAGAATTTTTAAGAAAACATTTATGATAAAGACTACAGTGTTGATGTTGATAGGTTTACAATATTCTGAACACATTAGTGGGTGTGTTGAAATATGAAAGTATGGAAAAGGAAATATGTTAAAATCTGGGGTTTGATGAGATGAGATGATGAGATGAGATGATGAGATGATGAGATATGATGAGATGATGTGAGATGAGATGACATGATGAGATATGACATGATGAGATATGAGATGAGATGAGATGATGAGATGATGAGATGATGAGATATGATGAGATGATGTGAGATGAGATGACATGATGAGATATGAGATGAGATGAGATGATGAGATGATGAGAGATGAGATGATGAGATGATGAGAGATGAGATGATGAGATATGATGAGATGAGATGATGAGATATGAGATGGCCTTTATTTGTCAGTTTCAGGTCTTTTGCCCACAACCGTGATGACAGACGTTGCCGACCGTACATACAATACACAAACATCACATTGGGGAGACAGGTCAGGCTAGGTAGTGAGGGAAAAAACAT